ACACACACACACACACACACACACACACACACACACACACACACACACACACACACACACACACACACACCACCTCATGAGCATGAATACACTCTTTAACACCCGCTCTCCTCACTCACACACACAGAGAGACACAAACCAAACTAACCAAATGTGCATATACACACATTCAAATAAGACACAACCCAACAAAACACACATGTTTGCATATAAGATCACACGCAGATAGAAACACTGACACACACACACACACACTGCAGCAGAGCTCTTCTTGTGTTAAGTAGGACGAGAGTGGGATCACTCTATTTGCCGTCCCACACAAAGCTGCTTGTTCAGTCATTATCTGGGAGAGCCTCTTCTCTCCTCTACAGACAAATGACCAGGTCACCGCTGAAACAGGCACTTCTCCCTCCCCCGCTCCCACCCCCACCCCACCCCCTTTATAAACAAAGCACAGCCATTTGTTTTAGCCACTAAAATCAGAAAGAAATTGGACATTTGCAAACCAAATGAGGCTTGTATGGCAGGTTCTTGCACCCCATCCAAAGCAGAGGCTAATTGTGTGCTTGGCCACTTTAAACAAATGACTGGGGAACAGGAGATGAGCGRGCTGGGGTGGGGGTGGGACTTTTTTCTTCTTCAAATGAATGAGGGGATGGACATTTGTTAAGGAAATCAGGAGGCCATGCAGTGAGCTCATGTGCGCTGGTGCACTGTCTCTGTTGGATCACTGAACCAGAACACAAAGGAGTGTTTTCAGCTCGTATATAAAAATACAGAATACTTCCAGGGTTTAAAAACATGAACGGTACGGCTCACTTACACAACAAGGTTCTCCTGGCTGCTACCATGTGGAAACCTTTCCTGTTGGTTTCCTACATCCAACCGGAGGTGGAGTAATTGTCAGCTTGGGGACATTTGTCTTAAAGGGATTCGTTTAGGATTGGGGGTTTGAATGAAAATTTTGCAATGTCCAGATAAAGAGTCCACCGCAGTTGATGCAAGTCTTCACAGGGGTCGAGGTCACTCACTAACTTCAATTTCTGCCATTGTTGCTGCTTGTCGGCTAGCTCAAGAGCCTCCACGTATTTTAACTTAACGTTGCATTGTGTTTTTCAAGTTTCTGAGCCACAAGACTGCATAGACAAATAAATATTGTGGGTAAAACCAGTCTTGGTCCAAGTACTTCTATGTTTGTCTGTACAAAGGTTATGAACAGTTAACCTGTTATAGATAACTCTTTGAACCATCATAGATGACCAAATTGATGAGCTAACCAGTCCAATCAGGGCCAAAACCAATGTGGATTGCTGTCATCTTAAAACAACTCTGTGGCTACACGCAAACGCAAAAAGCAGCAGCAGCTAGCTGTAGCACTAGGTAGGAACACTTTGTACTTTACATTAAAACAGACGCTCGTCAAAAGATCTCTTATTTAAATCTCTGACATAATGGTAAATAGTTTGTTGGAGACATAAAACGACACTCTTTAATGAAATATATTACTTTTAAAGTCATGCAAGGCGGCCTAAAACCCATTGTTTGTGTTTATTTTATTAAGTTACTTCTATAGATTTATTTTTATTGACATGAATAATACACTTTGGTATAGTGTGTAAAAACAAAAAAAAGTTTGAGTCATCACATTACAAAACCATTTTATCGGTGAGTCTTTCTCATTTCTAACATGTCAGTCTCTTGTGATCCCTGTCTAATCTTTAACTTAGTTATCATTCACGAGAAGATTAGTGAAACAATCAGTAAACATCATGACTGAGCATGTTGGTCACAGGAACTCGACACATCGAGTTTCAGACATAACAAAACATCCTAATCTTTTATACTGCTCATTGAAACACTTGAAACCCTCCATTTGCTTATCTTGTTCCTTAAGCATGACACTTGAATATTACACTGTGTGACTTTCTCGGGCAACATGTCTGAAGGGATTATAACCGGTCCATGCTAACTTAAGCTACCTCAGGGGGAGTTAAAAAAAGAATTTCACATGAAAARTTTTGCTTTTGTAATGAAAAACTGAGATGAGGAAAAACGTGCTCACAAAATTCAGACAAAAAAAGGGTTAAAGTTTGTTTTGCTTTTTTTTCTTGTTTGCGTTCTATTTGGAGAACTGATAAAACACTAACAAGAAATGTTAATCATTACCCCTTTTTAGAGGAATATGTTGACATGTGATGTTTTCTGCATTGTCTGAGGTTCTGTTTTTGTATTCATGTGTGAAGTAGTTCTTGAAATAAATGTTACATTTAAATTTTAAGTGTGTTCATTTAATTATGATCACCTGTGCAGAGTAACCCAACAATGTTGGAGCACATTTTAGTTGTTTAATGTGACACGAGTTAGTTTGCGAAGGATCAGTGAAGAATCAATAATTTTTTACCGTATATAAATAAGCATAATATTGTAACTGGACCTAACCCATATTTTTATTAAAATGAATACAAATTTAAGAGAAGGGAGTTGTATCAAACTCATACAAACATTTGCTTATTATAAAGTCAGTGCTCCCAGTGCGTGCAAGAGATTTACGGGGGAAAAGATAATGGTTGGTCACAGTCAGGAGTCTCTCATATGGACCGAATCAACCACTGCAGGTGTCAGAGGTTGTAGGGTTAAAGGTTGAGCTCTTTAAGCCAATCACAGGTCAGCTAGGGGGTCGGGACCTTTCCATGTGGAGTGAGGGGCACTTGGATGGTATAAGTGGAGCAGAGAAACCTATGAGCCTCATTCAAGATCCAGTTCCTGACACCTTTTTGATTATGTACGGTTCACTTTATTGCATCATTTGCTTATATTACTGTGTATTAATAATTACCAACATCAAGGTAGTTTTAAAGTGCATGTAACATCCAATTTTTGTAATGAATGTGAATGCGGTTTTGAAAAGAGAACATTGATAACATATTGCAAAACAAATTTCACGCTGTTGAGATGAATGGTTGTTGAGATACTTGCATGTGAAGAAACAGGAAGTGACGTCAAAGGGAATGTCTGCATGTAAACAGAGCGATGCCACAATAATTAGACAAGAATCTGATGTTTCTTTACAATATTTTGAGTCACTATCAGATGTGAAGAAGAGTTTAAATAAGATTGTTTCAATAAACAAAGACTAGAGAGTTTATTTTCTTAAATAGTTCCCCTTTGATGTCACTTCCTGTGTCACTTTGCTGCGCCAAATTCAAGAGAAATTAAGCCAGTTATGAGACAAAATGGGTAAAATCATGTGTATTATGGTAATTTTCTTAAATCTAAATATGTTTTCTTTTACTTTTTGTATTTGAAGGATAAGCATGTCACAGGCGTCCTGATGCATCTCAGTAATCCAGGTAAAAAATCAAAAAGAAAAAAATTGTTTAGGTCTTCTGGACGGGTTCTTCTCTAATGAAACGTTTCGTCTCTCCTCCAAGAGACTTCTTCAGTCTGAGAGTTTCAGGCAAAATTCAGGCTTTTAAGCCCTGCCTCCATGTGACTGATACTCACATCACATGGCTATCGTTCACACCTAATTAACACTTATTGTTAACAGGGGGTGGAGTGATACTGGCAATGGCCGCGCTGTAGGAGGGGGACAACTGAAAACGGAGGCCTCCACCTCTGTTTAATGATGGACGGTCTTTCTTCACAAAAATGGCTTCTTTTACTCCTCTCTCAAACCAACGTTCCTCTCTATCAAGAATGAGAACATCCTCATCTCTGAAAGAGTGACCGCTGGCCTGTAAATGAGTGAAAACTGCAGAGTTCTGGCCATTAGATGTAGCTCGTCTGTGTTGGGACATTCTTTGTCMTTCATGTCACAGGCCCTTCAAGGAATTTGGTATTAATGGTGATGGTTATTATTTTTCCACTCACAGTGCCTGACGATACAAACAAAACAACTCGTCTGTTTACAATAAAGCATTGACATTAGAGAAAAATACCGTAATATCTTGCAGAATCTGTGTGGCCATGTAGTCAGACTTTATCCAGCTAAAAACAAAACACTCAACACAGATAGATACTCTACTTCACTAAATCTTTACTGAACGTTTCCCACTTCATCACTTAAATTTGAATGCATTGCATGTGACGCCACATGACATATGATAACATACGTCACACAATCCAAAAATTCCATTTTGTTTATTTATTGTTACGATATTTCTGCTCAAACTGAGAATATGTATATGATGTCTTCCTGGATTTAGCTTTGTTTTCTGTGGGGTTAAATATTGCAAATTTACAGTGGACTGAGAGATATATTTAAGCAATTTTGCTGACTTAAACTAAACAGCAGTTTTTTCCAAATACAAATGTGACAAAGGAAAGTCCTATAAATGCCAGTGATGGATAGTTACTCAGAGAGAAACGAGAAGGAGGTGTTTTGAGGTGATCTGCCATGACGTTACGGCAGCCAGAAAAACAGCTTTTTGTGTTTCTTGTTTGTGTGTATGCATAAATGTGTGCTTGTGCGCGCGCGTCTCCGGCTGAGCCCACGTTACTTTGATTGACACACGAGACTCGCCTTTTACCCACCGCACTGCCCGCCCCGCGCGCTTCCGAAGTGGCATAGTCTTGCGAGGAGCTGATTGGTGGAAAATCGCGTAGCTTCGCGAGGTCAACGGACTGTAGGAAGTTTACGGAGCGGCTATTGGTCAAATCTGGAAGCCGTGTTTCCGTACCCACGTGGAGCGGCGGTCCTGATTGGTCGAAAGTCGTCTTGGAGGCCGTCCTAGAGTTTCGGTTAGAGAGGGGGAGCGTGAAACCGCGTGAGAAAGTTGCCATTGATGGTGAAGCGGAGCTAGACGCTGGAGCGTTCGCGCCGCTGTGGGAGTTTTTTTTGCTATGAAAATTAACGATATACTTCCTAGTTTTACGTTAAACCTCTTACGGACACTGTTTTGTATTAAGAGTAAACCCGGAAATCAATATTTGTGATTTTTATTGCCTCTTTAACCGCCAACCAGCGACCGCCGCGAGTCAAGTGGGGACTCTTCACTGCAATTAACTTGTGTGGATATGTTTCTGACGCTTTGAGACGACAGTTTGAGGCTTTGTGTTCCGGCTCTGTGGTTCCCCCCACCAACTCTCTGTACTCGGAATACTTTAAACTACAAATAAACAACAGAGGTAACTTCCTTTCTTACCTGCCCTTCTCCGGGCTGCCTGCAGCTAATGAGCCGTTCGAGGAGCGGGGAGGGATTCACGTTAAACTGTCGGTGAGCCCAGACTGAGCAGCTGGCTTTGTCGGTTTAAAATTAAGTTGGTCCACATAAATAAAGGCGGATGGGTTTGTGTCCGTGAGCTTCGTGCATCCACGCTGCTTCATTTGAGAGGTTTTTGAGGAGGAGGACACAGCTCACCCCCACACCAGAGATAACATGTTCCCCCAGGGACGACACCCGGTAAGTCACTTCCGGTTACCTGACTTAAAACCCTCTGGCGCTTTTTGTTGTTTTTGCTTACGTCATGCATTTTTTCCTGTGGTATTTGGTCTCCACATGCTCAGAATAGCAGAATGAAGTTGATAAGAAACAAGTGAACTTATGAAAGATAACCTACAATTTCCATGCCACATATTAGTCACTATGTTGATGATAATTCACTGTTTTCTTTATTATTTCCGGTCAGACGCCCCATCAGGCTCCAGGCCAGCCCTTCAAGTTCACCATCCCGGAGTCACTGGACCGCATAAAGGAGGAGTTCCAGTTTCTCCAGGCACAGTACCACAGGTGGATTAATACAAACCCACGGTTCACATGCAAGTCTGTGCAGTCTTTGTGGGGCAAATTCCCCTCATTGTTATCTAGCTTTTAACATTAAACCTGACTTTAACCGCAGCCGTCACCCGCTTTGCCACAGTGAAAACACCAAGTCTGGTCTCAGACTAACCCGTAAACCTGGATTAGGTTCACATAAAAGTGCACACACATGCAGCAGGCATCAATGTTAGCGTTTACTCTGCGGTAGGTCTAAGTCTTGGTGATGGGTGAGTGCCAAAGAGTGTCGTGTGGGCTCAGACGTTCATAAATTACCACTTATTTTACCCTGTGTATGTGTGTGTGTGTGTGTGTGTGAGACAGAGAGATTATAGTTGTGGATTGAGCCAACGCTGTTCAGCAGTTATCATACTTTTTGCAAGTTGTACTCAGTTTTATTTTTATTTGTGTTTTCAGTCAAGGTTTACCACAATGTTGAAAAACTGCCGGCCTCATATACACGTTACTCGAGTCACATCCTGGTAGAGCGGGGTTCAAGCACATTTCCAACTTTCTATCTTTTATATGGTTTTACAAGAATTCAGGTTTTTGTTTGTGGGTGCTATGATAAATGATTAAAAAGAAGTTGTTATACAGTCATCTTCCATTTAGGAACGGATAAATTTGGGACTAACAAAAATAACAAACAAACTTGTCCTTAACTTGAAGTTGTTTTTTTGTCTCATTTTATTTGTTGACAGCCTCAAACTGGAGTGTGAGAAGCTGGCCAGTGAAAAAACTGAGATGCAGAGACACTATGTCATGGTAAGACCGTGTTCTGCTTGCATACTTGACCAAGGCCGCTAAATTGTTCTCTGGTGAAGATCATGTTGTTCCCTCACCAGATGTATAAATTATCTATCCACAGATTGATAAGAGAACCATTCGAATACTTGATGTGAATGAAATGAAGTTGTGTTTAAACAAAACAGCAATGTGAAAGTAACACCTGCTTAAATTGTGAAAAAGTTTGTATCTTTTCTTGGTTCCTGGTACTGAAAAGTGTTAGATTAAAGCGTTTTCCTTAAAGTTCTGGTC